ATATAAGTATGTGCATATGTAACTATGTTTGCACAAAATGATAAAATGTGACCAGTGTCTGTGTTTATCCTGCTGTCTAGACTATGAGTTGCACATGTGGAGATCACACCTCTTCTCTTCTGTAGTGTATCTCTGAGTTTACAACAGTGCAGCAGGTGCTCAGCGAGCAGTTGTTGAATGGGTTCTTTAGTGAGTGGATGAGAGGGGATGAGAGGTTGTCAGTGGTGGGCAGCCTTCTTATGCACAGGCTGCACCTCAACTGTTGTGAAGTCTGATATTAGAAAGTCCTTCCTTGCTCCAGGATTCTGTTGGTGGGATTCTTCCATGTGATGGTCCTTCATATTTGTAATGATAGCTGCCCTCTGAGCCCCAGGTATCCCAGCAAACAGAATGAAGGACATACCACATGGGGTTTCCTGCTTCTAACCATGGTTGGGGTGGATTAAGTTGCTGATAGTATTTGGATCAAATTATTTGATGCTGACTTTTCAAGGCTGGGAAATGTACACACTGAGTGATTCTGTATGGTTTTGTTGGAAGAGGATGTTTGCTATGACCATTGGGTTCTCTTGGCAAAACTCTATTAGCCTTTGCCCTGCTTCATTCTGTACTCCAAAGTCAAATTTGCCTGTTATTCCAGGTGTTTCCTGACTTCCTACTTTTGCATTCCAGTCCCCTATAATGAAAAGGACATCTTTTTTGGGTGTTAATTCTAAAAGGTCTTGTAGGTCTTCATAGAACTGTTCAACGCCAGCTTCTTCAGCATTGCTGGTTGGGGCATAGGCTTGGATTACCGTGATATTGAATGGTTTGCCTTGGAAATGAACAGAGATCATTCTGTTGTTTTTGAGATTGCATCCAAGTACTGCATTTCATACTCTTTTGTTGACCATGATGGCTACTCCATTTCTTCTAAGGGATTCCTGCCCATAGTAGTAGATATAATGGTCATTTGAGTTAAATTCACCCACTGAGTCCATTTTAGTTCGCTGATTCCTAGAATGTTGTCTTTATAGCATTGGACCTTGCTTCTATCACCAGTCACATCCACAACTGGGTATTGTTTTTGCTTTGGCTCCATCCTTTCATTCTTTCAGGAGTTATTTCTCCACCGATCTCCAGTAGCATATTGGGCAGCTACCGATCTGGGGAGTTCCTGTTTCAGTGTCCTATCTTTTTGCCTTTTCATACTGTTCATGGGGCTCTCAAGGCAAAAATACTCAAGTGGTTTGCCATTCCCTTCTCCAGTGGACCACATTCTGTCAGACCTCGCCACCATGACCTGTCCATCTTGGGTGGACCCACACAGCATGGCTTAGTTTCACTGAGTTAGACAAGGTGTGGTCTGTGTGATCAGATTGGCTAGTTTTCTGTGACTGTGGTTTCAGTCTGCCTGCCCTCTGATGCCCTCTTGCAACACCTACCATCTTACTTGGGTTTCTCTTACCTTGGTCGTGGGGTATCTCTTCATGGCTGCTCCAGCAAAGCGCAGCCGCTGCTCCTTACCTTGGACGAGGGGTATCTCCTCACGGTCGCCCCTCCTGACCTTGAACATTGAGTAGCTCCTCTCGGCCCTCCTGCGCCCGCACAGCTGCCACTCCTCAGGTGTGGGGTAGCTCCTCTCGGCCGCCGCCCCTGACCTTGGGCGTGGGACAACACAAGAGAAGACTCTACACATGGACTTCACCAGATGGTCAAAACCTAAATCAGATTGATTATATTCTTTGCAGCTAAAGATGGAGAAGCTCTATACAGTCAGCAAAAACAAGACCAGGAGCTGACTGTGGCTCAGATCATGAACTCCTTATTGCCAAATTCAGACTTAAATTGAGGAAAGTAGGGAAAACCACTGGACCATTCAGGTATGACCTAAATCAAATCCCATATGATTATACAGTGGAAGTGAGAAATAGACTTAAGGGACCAGATCTGATGAACTATGAATGCCTGATGAACCATGGATGGAGGTTCATGACATTGTACAGGAAACAGGGATTAAGACCATCTCCATGGAAAAGAAATGCAAAAAAGCAAAATGGCTGTCTAAGGAGGCCATACAAATAGCTATGAAAAGAAGAGAAGCGAAAAGCAAAGGAGAAAAAGAAAGATAGTCCCCTCTGAATGCAGAGTTCCAAAGAATAGCAAGGAAAGATTAAAAGAAAAAAAAGCCTTCCTCAGTGATCAGTGCAAAGAAATAGAGGAAAACATCAGAATGGGAAAGACTAAAGATCTCTTCAAGAAAATTAGAGATACCAAGGGAACATTTCATGCAAAGATGGGCTCGATAAAGGACAGAAATGGTATGAACCTAACAGAAGCAGAAGATATTAAGAAGAAATGATAAGAATACATAGAAGAACTGTACAAAAAATATCTTCATGACCCAGATAATCATGATGGTGTGATCACTCACTTAGAGCCAGACATCCTGGAATGTGAAGTCAAGTGCGCCTTAGAAAGCATCACTAGAACAAAGCTAGTGGAGGTGACGGAATTCCAGTTGAGCTATTTTAAATCCCGAAAGATGATGCTGTGAATCATCATATTTGCTGGTACTAAATATGCCAGCAAATTTGGAAAACTCAGCAGTGGCCACAGGACTGGAAAAGGTCAGCTTTCATTCCAATCCCAAAGAAAGGCAATGCCAAAGAATGCTCAAACTATCACACAACTGCACTCATCTCAATGGCAATTGCACACAATTGCTAGTAAATTATTGCTGAAAATTCTCCAAGCCAGGCTTCAGCGATACGTGAACTGTGAACTTCCAGATGTTCAAGCTGGTTTTAGAAAAGGCAGAGGAACCAGAGATCAAATTGCCAATATCTGCTGGATCATTGAAAAAGCAAGAGAGTTCCAGAAAAACATCTATTTCTGCTTTATTGACTATGCCAAAGCCTTTGACTTTGTGGATCACAATAAACTGGAAAATTCTTAAAGAGATGGGAATACCAAACCATCTGACCTGTCTCTTGAGAAACCTGTATGCAGGTCAGGAAACAACAGTTAGAGCTGGACATGGAACAACAGACTAGCTCCAAATAGGAAAAGGAGTATGTCAAGGCTGTATATTGTCACCCTGCTTATTTAACTTATATGCAGAGTACATCATGAGAAATGCTGGGCTGGAAGAAGCACAAGCTGGAATCAAGCTTGCCTGGAGAATTATCAATAACCTCAGATATGCAGACGACACCACCCTTATGGCAGAAAGTGAAGAAGAACTAAAGAGCCTCTTGATGAAAGTGAAGGAGGAGAGTGAAAAAGTTGGCTTAAAGCTCAACATTCAGAAAACTAAGATCATGGCATCTGGGCAAACAGATGGGGAAACAGTGGAAAAAGTGTCAGACTTTATTTTTGGAGGCTCCAGAATCACTGCAGATGGTGATTGCAGCCATGAAATTAAAAGACGCTTACTCCTTGGAAGGAAAGTTATGACCAACCTGGATAACATATTTAAAAGCAGAGACATTACTTTGCCAACAAAGGTCCATCTAGTGAAGGCTATGGTTTTTCCAGTGGTCATGTATGGATGTGAGAGTTGGACTCTAAAGAAAGCTGAGTGCCAAAGAATTGATGCTTTTGAACTGTGGTATTGGAGAAGTCTCTTGAGTCTCTTGGACTGCAAGAAGATACAATCAGTCCATCCTAAAGGAGATCAGTCCTGGGTGTTCATTGGAAGGACTGATGTTGAAGCTGAAACTCCAATACTTTTGCCACCTCATGCGAAGAGCTGACTCATTGGAAAAGACCCTGATGCCTGGAGGGATTGGGGGCAGGAGGAGAAGGGGATGACAGAGGATGAGATGGCTGGATGGCATCACCGACTCAATGGACATGGGTTTGGGTGGACTCCGGGAGTTGGTGATAGACAGAGAGGCCTGGCGTGCTGTGATTTATGGGGTCACAAAGAGTCTGACATGACTGAGCGACTGAACTGAACTATGGTTTTCTGTGATGCTCTTTCTTGTGGTGACATTTTTAGCCTTAGGAGGCATTTGTCTTGACTGCATTGGGTCTTCTGTTCCTTCATATACATTTTAGAACTGACTTACTAAAGACCACCAAAAAGAAAAAAACGCTCTCAGGATTGTGATTGGTATTGAACTAAACTTATAATTTATTTGTATGGAAAATTTAATGATTTTGCCTTCCTACCCTTGAACATAATGCATTTTTGGGTCCTTTTAATGAATTTTGATTAAATGATATCATTTTCTCCATAAGAATTTTACACATAATTTGTTAGATTTATTTCTAGATAGCTCATAGTTTTATTGCAATTATATATGTAGCTCTTAGAAATTGCATTTAACTGTTGTTGGTGTTTACAGCAGCAGTAAGTTCTATAAGATGTTGAGTGTAAGCCTGAGGTGTTTCTGAAAATCGTTGTCAGAGTTCTAGTCTTTCTCTGAAAGACTGCCTCCACCTGTTCCTCTACCTCTTAAATGAGCACTAAAAATACCTCTTGGAATCAAAGTTAAAGAGTGGGTATATGTTTTGGACTTAAAAACAATGAAACTAATTTATGACCATGGCTATCAAATCTGAGAAAATAGTAGAAATATGGAACTAGGAAAAACATCTGGAGCTGTGCATGTGTTCAAAGGCTGTGTTCTGGAATACAGCAGGGCCCTTGGGAACAGCACAAGGAAAACCTCTACTATTTTTCAGTGACTGTCTCAGTTCCAAGTCACTTAAACTCACAGTAGCATCTTATTTATTGGCATAATTGCAGCAAATTTAGAAAACAAAGACAAAGAAGAAAATAATCTTCAGTAACTGGGCAAACTCTGGAGAACCCACTGATAACTTACATGCCTTTCTATCAGTTAGCAACTGGTGTTTGAAACAGAAATGTTCACTTCCTGTAGCATATTATTGACTGAAAGTCAATAGATCTTGGCTGTTCAGTGAGTTCTGAGTTACAGGTGGCTCCAGCTAGGCTCTAGCTATCTCTTGACCCGCCGTGAGCTGGCTGGGTCAACACTTCCCCTGCAATGACCGAAGCCTGGACGACAAGCCCCACATCAAGCCTCTGGTACCATCATCTCTGCTGCAGTCCAACTGGCCAGCAGGAGGCACTGGCCAAGGCCTACAGCCATGTGGAGAAAGTACACCTGCCTCTAACGTAAGGAGCTGCAAAGTCCCCTGGCAGAGAGTGCGCATATAGAAGGAGGTGACGGTTTGGTGCCATAGTTCAATCTACCACAGTGTATTTGTGGTTTCTGGTCCAACAGTAGAATGCTATCATACAGTACTGTTGGTTTGAATGCATATAGTCTCACCACTTCAGTGTTCTACTGATGGATGGGGCAGGAACACGGGTACATTTTTAAATTCCATTTGGTTGACTGATGTACCTGTATATTTGCCTATAGATTGGACTGACTCCGCAAGTCCTGTGAAGGCTCCATAAATGATTTTACTTGCTGTTTGTTGCGTGAAAATAACCGTCTACTTGCATGTCTGAGCACTTTTTGCAGATGTAAGATTTCTCACCAAGTGCACCATCTGATATGATGTCTGAAATCCCATCCCTTCTGGCCTCATTATTTTGGATCTTAAGCATTTCTAGATACCACAAGTCTTTAGGTCCTAAGCTGCTGACACCCTGATGATGAGAAGTGGCTTTTGAGGAGCTGACGGCAGCCCCAGGGAGGCTGGGCTTCCTACTCTGTCTCATGCTAGGTGGGCTTGTCCTGTTTCATCTCGAACAAGCACACCTTTCTCCGGAGAGCTGCTCTCTGTTGTGTGTACAAATCAATAGACCAATATGAAGAATTGGGGTTTAAAAAATAATTGTGGATTCTTAATTGGAACAAGTGCTAGAAGGTGGCAAGGTCACTCAGCTGGGAAACGCGCTAGCGGATCCCACTGCAGAGAAGTTGCAGGATTTGTCCTGCCCAAGCGCTAGTCTGAGCTGAATCATCATGTCATCCTTCCCATGATTTCGCCACTCTCTGATGATGATAAAGGAAGCAGGATGGTTTGAAATATCAGCAGCACTAATGAGGCATCCCTGACATGAACAAGATAATACCGTCTCAAAATCACTGCGGAGGGGAATTAATAGAAGTCAGATGATTTCGTGTGGGCTGCGTCCAAGCTCATTGGGACAACCGAGTCCTTCCAGATGTTAAGTGATGAATAAATAAAGCAAGTCTGACGGAGTCCAGGCTGTGACTGAGGAACTGGTAATTTGGCAGAGAATCTGGTCTCACATTATCACTTATGGATGTGATTTTTAAGTAACCTTGGGAAACACTTATGAGTTAAGCAACGGTTTATGCCCTTGAAACTTCTGTGCTATTCTCAGCTCCGGTAAGTGCTGGCGTGAGCAGGAGGTGGCGCTGGGGCTTGTGAGGGGAGTGGACAGGAAGCCTCGGATCCGAACAGTAGTAGAACTGGCAGCACGTTCAACAAGGAAAAAGACTCTCTCTGTTTTAACAAGTCTACATCACATTCTATTTAAAATCATCTTTTCAGTGGATTGTATTTCCCCGCTAAATTGTAAACTTCGTTTGCTCTGCTCACAATCGTGTCCCCAGAGGCCTGCAGGGCTCCGGGGGTCAGCAGCGATTGGCGGGTGAGGGACCGGGCACGAAGGCCAGGCGGAAGCGGCTGCCGTGGGCGGGCGGGGGGCAGTGGGGAGGTTTCACGGCTTCTCGGGTCCCTTTCAGCTCGGTCTTGCCTGAAGGGGCACAGGGCTGGGACGAATAGCCATAAAATAAAATAAAGCGATAAAATAAAAACAAAAATAAGCGATGAGATTGCTTCGGTCTGCGGGGACAGGAGCGGAGGTCTGGAAGCGGGGAACCAGCGGGGCTGCTCGTCTGTTCTCAGGCTCACGGTCACACACGTGCCCTCCCACCCCAAGTGATGAGCCCTCTGACCTCTTATTTACTTAGAGGGCAATCACCCTTCACTCCCCAGATCACCCAAGCACCCAGGTTACAGCGCACGATGGTGAAGTTACCCCTGTAATCCAAGTCAGCAGGAATTTGAAGGAGTTCTTGTTTTAACTCAGGGAACCCAGAAAGCTTTTGCAGTCCAACCAAAAATCTTAAAAAGTTTAAATGATTGCTTCTCTGCCTTACTTTTAAAAGTATAACATATTTGAATTGTATTTTATTTTTGAGAAATAGTTTTATTCACTAAAGAGAATGCTTATGTGTTTTAGCAAAAGAACATTTACACAAAACACAAATCCTGACTGTATTTCTCAAACTTATAAAACAATGTGCCACTCTGACAAATGCCACAGTTTATGAGCTTTCTTAATGATGTTTCACATTTCCAAACAAACAACACAACTAAAAACAAATCAAAGCAGGAGACAAAGCAACTCATTTCCCCCAAACATTCTCTCTTACTCTTTGAGAAGTCTGCATTGCATGATTTGACCCCTAGCAAACCTGTGAAGTGGCTGAAGCTCTATTTCTATCTTTCAGCTGAGCCACAAGGGAAGCCCCATTTCCATCCTTCAGAAGAAGAGCAGGAACAAATTACTAGAACCAACCAGAGACTCGACACTGAGGCTCTGCAAGAGGATGAGGACGCAGGTTTTAAATTCCTGGCTCAGCCTACTGTGGTTTCTAATAATTGAAGTTGAATGTTATGGGGTTGAATGAATTCCTCTCACTAAAATGTGAGGTCAATAGTGAGATGTCTCCTGGAAACATCTCTTTACTTTTAAAATAAAGAATTCCTACAGTGATTTTTTTCTTACAGTCATTATTTCTAATTCAGGTTAATGAAGGAACTTGAGTATCTACATTTTTGACTGTGTATATTTAAGAACTTTTTTTTTTTATAAAGGGATCTTTTGTGTTCATAGCTAGCAATCAAGCTAAGCCTAGAGAGTAATATGAGAGCCAGTTACCTTAAAGAAGTGACTTTTTCTTTCCTTAAATGATGATTAGGAATATAGAGAAAAATTGTAAACAAAATCATTTATGCAGGTCAAGCAGCTGAAACTCATGACGATGAGCACACATGTGGAGAGCAGCCCAGAGTCCCCACGAGAGGCTGTCAGTGTCCCTTCTTAGAGGGCTATCTTGAAAGAATCTACAGCCTCCTGCTAAATAGCAGTCAGTCCTTTCACTGCTTGTGGGGCCTCTGTGTTCTGCTTCTGCAGCTGTGAACTGACTCCTCCCGGGGGCTGCTGTGGGCCCCACTTCTCAGCTTTGAGTTAATCCCAGCACACAATGTCCTGGGTGAGTGGCTCTAGAGTTATCTGAGACAAAATGCAAACATGTTGAGTGAGGGGAAGGAGAAGGAAAAGGTGGGCCAAAAAGTGAGGAAATACACTGATTGAGAAAAATATGGAGTTAAGAGTAGAACCAAATTTTTCAACACTTACTTGGAAGTGTAAGAGGAGAGGAAACTTCTCTTCCAGCTTTTCTGCTACCATCTCTAATTGCATAGCCTCTCAAAGAGATCTTCTTAGAAAATCCCACTTCACAGAGAAATTAGCATCCCCATGACTTATCCCACTGTTTATATGGAGAAGAGTAATGAACATTGTTGAGTAATAATACAAAAGTGATGTGTAATATTTACTGAGCACTTACCATGTGCAAGATACTATGCCAGATACTTTTCTTGCACCATCTGTCTCATTTAATTCCTACAATAATTATAAGAGGTAGACATCATCATCCCCACATCAGGGACAGAATAAATAGAATTCTGGAATTCAGACCATGGCTGGTCTGACTCCAAAGGTTACTATTTTCTCTATATATGAATGCTGCTCAAACTGTTAGGTAGGGGTCGGGGGTGAACACGGGCTGTGCATTAAGGCAGGTACATCTTGAAAGGGCAATTCTCTTGAAGGATTTGGTGAAAAGGTTTTGGATTTTTGAGCTCTTAAAGTGCAACCTAGACAGCACATTAAAAAACAGAGACATTACTTTGCCAACAAAGGTCCATCTAGTCAAGGCTATAGTTTTTCCGGTAGTCATGTATGGATGTGATAGTTAGACTGTAAAGAAAGCTGAGCACCGAAGAATTGATGCTTTTGAACTGCGGTGTTGGAGAAGACTCTTGAGAGTCTCTTGGACTTAAAGGAGATCCAACCAATCCATTCTAAAGGAGATCAGTCCTGGGTGTTCATTGGAAGGACTGATGCTGAAGCTGAAACTCCAATACTTTGGGCACCTGATGCAAGAGCTGACTCATTTGAAAAGACCCTCATTTGAGAAGACCCTGACCCTGAAAAGATTGAAGACAGGAGGAGAAGGGGATGACAGAGAATGAGATGGTTGGATGGCATCACTGACTCAATGGACATGAGTTTGAGCAAGCTCTGGGAGTTGGTGGTGGTCAGGGAAGCCTGGCATGCTGCAGTCCACGGGGTTTCAAAGAGTCAGACATGACTGAGCAACTGAGTTGAACTGAACTGAAAGTGCAAGTGTTGCAAGTGTTAATCGCTCAGTCATGCCCGACTTTTTGGGACCCCGTGGACTGCAGCATGCCAGGCTGCTCTGTCCATAAGATTTTCCAGGCACAGATACTGGAGTGTGTTGCCATTTCCTTCTTCAGGTGATCTTCCTGACCGAGGGGTTGAAGCCAGGTCTTCTTCACTGCAGGCAGATTCTTTACCATCTGAGCTGCGAGGGAAGACTTGAGCTCTTAAAAACGTTGTCAAATAAGTTGAAAGCAAAATCACAACTCTTGCCTTGACAGGTGGCTCAACACATTTTGTCTAATAAGACTCAGGGGATTGAAAATTTTATGTTCAGCAGTCACAAAGTTGGCTTTTTCAGTTTGTTAATTTGGTAGTAGCTGTGGTAAGAGCATGTTCAAGAGGTTAGAAAGACTTGTTGACTAGTCAGTCCACTGAAATACATGAGCATAAACTGAAATCCTTGGCAAATTTGGCCAAAATTTAATGTTTATTTTCTCAAAAGTGTAGAGTTTTCCTCTTGCAGAAGAGTGGGACTTTCTTCTTTTATTAAACATTGGTTCCCACTGGAATATAATCTCCCTGAAAGCACAAACTTGTCTGTTTTGTTTCACTACTCTATCCTCAGAACATTTTCCAGAGTGCACCACATGTTTGATAGACATATGCTGAGTGAATTAAATGAATTAAAATTATACGAAATGTTAGCAGTTCAACTT